TCCCAAGGATGAACCAGACTTGTGGAGCTCTACAATTTTTGTTCTGAGGTCTTGGTTAATTTTTTTTTATTTTCCCATGATGTCAAGCAAAGAGGCACTGAGTTTGAAGGTAGGCCTTGAAATACATCCACAGGTACACCTCCAATTGACTCAAATGATGTCAATTAGCCTATCAGAAGCTTCTAAAGCCATGACATAATTTTCTGGAAATTTGTGGAGTGGTTGAAAAAAGTGTAATGTAAACTTCAGACTTCAACTGTATGGAGTAAAAAGTAAATTATTTTATTTAGGAATGTAGTGAAGTAAAGGTAAAAGTTGTCAAAATATAAATAGTAAAGTAAAGTACAGATACCCCAAGAAACTACTTAAGTAGTACTTTAAAGTATTTTTACTTAAGTACTTTACACCACTGTAAAATATTCAACCCTAGACCAGCCCGATGGCCAGTCCCCGCCTGCTACAGTGTATTGCAGAAGGAAATGGCTTATGTGCATATATTTCAAGACAATAACACATGCTTTTGCGAGGAAAGGAAATTGTCAGTGTGTTTTCCTTTTCCTCACTTATGAAGTGTTCTTGTGAAGTGTTCTTATGAAGTGCTGAGTGCAGAAGCAAAGTCTCCCTTTCTTTCATTTCACTCTGCGTTGTTTACAGCAATATGGCACCGGGCCATAAATCTCCCGCCTGAGCCGCGGAGACAGGGCCATTTGTATGCACCGTTTTAACTGACAACATCCTCTGCCCATTAACTTCGTTCCCCATGCTCTCTGTCTCCTCTTATCTGCCCGAATCGAGCTCTGTCCGTCGAAAACACATTCGCAGATCCATGGCATGGATGGTTTTCCTTGAACAGAGCAGTGTAGAAAACAGTGTTTTTGAAACAAAGGGGTTAGGAAAATTATTTTAGCTGCAAGTGGAATTTGGTGTAGGTCTACATGCAAAAACGAAAAATCCCAATGAGTGGAAATGCTATTGTTGTGCGTTTGGTATATATTTTCTGTAAATATCGCCCATCTTTACAAAAATCTACATATTCTGCCTGTTTTCATATAGGCTATGGGATAAATATTTTATACAAGTATTTTTTATCGATGTTTTCATCTGCTGTTTGTGTCAGCCACCAAACCAAGAGAGTGCAATAGAGGCTGCTGCCCTGTGTACATAGACATGGCATCACTGGTCACTTTAATAATGGAACACTAGTCACTTTAATAATGTTTACATACTGTTTTACTCATTTCATATGTATATACTGTATTCTACTGTATCTTAGTCAATGCCACTCGGACATTGCTCGTCCTAATATTGATATATTTCTTCATTCCATTCTTTTACTTTTAGATTTGTGTGTATTGTTGTGAATTGTTAGATACTACTGCACTGTTTGAGCTATGAACACAAGCATTTATCTTCACCCGCAATAACATCTGCTATATATGTGTATGTGACCAATAAAATGTAATTTGATTTGATTTGCAGAAGGTAATATGTTGTACACCAAGCCAAGAGCAGGCCAAGAGAGTGCAGAAGGTAAGGGGGGGTTGTAAAAGGGATTGACACACAGAGAGACCGGCGCGCGCTTTTGTGCAGGGAGACTAAAATGATTTATTGCCACGTGGGCGGTTCAACCAGAGTTCACGGAGAATTGTGGTGTAGGCGCGCGGAGGAGCTAAACTATGTTCTTGCTGAGCTAGTATATCACAGATTCTATATCCAATAGGCTACAGACGATTGAGTGTGCTCAACGGTTTGAGGCAAAGAAAACGAACGGAATGTAATTACTTTATGCCCTGATTTCTCCTCTCCAGATAAAATAACTGCCTGATGCTACAGGTATACAATATGATAATGATGATGATAATAATAATAATAATAATAATAATTATAATTATAATAATAATAATAATTATTATTATTATTATTATTATAATAGCGTTATACTCATAATTATCCTACTAATAGTGTACATCTACATAATACCAATTGTGTACAGCTAAACTGACCATTGGTGAAGGAAATGAAAAAGTGCATTAAATGCACATGAACCTCAAATAAACCTATTGAGTTCGCTTATTAGTGTAATTTATCCATGTGTTAATTTATCCCAGGTTATGGAATGAATCTTCTCGCATTCACTGCACACTCCCACCAAGTCATATTTCATTTAAACGGAAACAATGCCGGACCTGTTATGTGCATGCTGAATGCCTCTATCTGACAAGTTCTGTGACAGCAATTCACTGAACTCTAAATATCAAAAGTTCTTAAAACAAGATTGATTTTGGAAGAACAATTGGAAAGGGTAAACAAGGGATGTCTTCTTCATAAAGCTCCCTCTAATAAATGCTGTATAACTTGTCTGTTTCATTGTGCACCGTATGGCATACCAGTTCTAAATAAAATGTTATAGGGGTATTTTTATGTAATATGGTGAAGAAATGCAAATATATGTCACTTTGTATGTTTACACCGTCTTCTTATAGGCGTTTGTGAGATGGCCTTATTTGTACCAATCTCATATGATCTGAAAGAAATGTAGGCTATATTCTCTGTCGTCAAGCATGCATTCTTAGGTTCTGAACATGACGTGAACACTCTTCTACGACCCATATCTCAATTCAAGTGGACAATTTGTTTATCATGGTTATCACTTCATGCTCTCAATGAACAATTGGTGTTGCCGGAAATCCCATCTCTACCCCTCATGCTATTCGTGTTGTTCTATTACATTCTAAATGATGTCATGGATTTCCTTTGATTATTTGAGTTTACAATAATGATAAACATGAGATGATCATGTTTATGTTAAAATAACTTATTGGAGTGAGTATGTGAAGTGTTCATGTAGGGGCAGGGAGTGACGCTGCCCTTGTGGCGGGGCTAGGAGGAGGGTAAACGGAAGAGGGATTCAATCAGAGTGGTGCTGGAGAGGCTGGGTCGTCCCTGTGCTGCTAAGACATCGTTGTCGTATTATATTAGAGAAATAGTGGAACTGTAGGCTATAGTGGTAGAAAAGGCCTATAGAATTTAATCAGCTTTTCGAAATAAATGCAGTAGCCTAATGACGTCATTGGCCCACTGTATACCAGGGTCTATGGCACTGCCATGTTCATCTGAGTTTGATATGTACACATATATTTGGTGTATATGAAGCTAATAATATTTTACATAATTACATTATTATAATAGCCTTTGTAATAGCCTACAAGTTAAGAAAAAGTACCATAACAAGTTTCGTTAGTAGCTTACACTGTATTGCTTTAGTGTTAGCTTTGGGTTCATAGGGCGACAGTATGTCATTATTCGACTACCTCTTTGTCTGTTCGTCCATATACCACACAGGTTTTAACAATCGAAAACTACTCTGTAATATGAATGTTGCTTGACAGAGCGAACACATCCATGTTGCAATTGATTAGTGAAAGCAGATAAACAGACATTTTAGGTAAAACTACTATTATTTTCGATATTCTTTTGTGGTCTTTTCATTGTCTTTGTGTGGCAATGATTTTCAAAACCTTTTGTTTGACCACTCCCATTGAATCTATTAAGTCGTTAACTTATAGGGAAGTAATTACGCTAATAACTCGGATAGTTCCCTCATTCAATTCATTTGCATACAACCTGCATACATTGAATGCATAATCACGTGCAAATAGAATGAATAAATAAATAGACAAAAATAGAGTTTTAAGTCCAAGCTCTGTAGTCTATATCCGGAAGATGTAAGAATACAATTCACAATGGTGGATCATCATTTTTAATATAGTAATAGCTATATTTCAACAAACAGCACACTCATATTATAATTACACATTCACGAAAATTACACATTTAACATATTTTTGTATATATATTTGGATAGCATTGATATGATCCAAGTAGCCTTACATATCATTCCTTCAAATAGGCTACTCAATCAATAGTTTGCAATAAGGAGCATTGCTATAACCTACAAGGAAAGTTCAAGAAAGGAAGTAACGTTAACTGGGTTTTCATTCGAATATCTTCCCACATGTGGTAGGCCTACTCTTTAATTGAAAAATAAATAGATATTTAGTTCCTAATGATCTGTTCAGTGTGTGCCCCTCTCTCTCTCTCTCTCTCTCTCTCTCTCTCTCTCTCTCTCTCTAAAACGGCATACGGATCATGCACTGCTATGGCTCTCTTACTATTCATATATTCATATTCTAATTGGTTGTTTTCATCCGTAGGTGAAGAAGAAATAAACGCTTATTGCAATGCTGCCTGAAGAATTGGAGCGGGTTCCTCCGGCGTCATTAAGTTCCTTTCAGACTGTTTGGAACTGCAGCCGGCGACTATTGGAGGATTGCCGCACGTGACTTCACGGTTTATCGCTCTGGTTATATTCAAAACAGTCTTAAAGCTTATTCAAAGTCATTTAAGTTAGTTGTAAAGCTATATATTTATCATGCAAAAGTGCATACCTTCCCAACTTTAGTTAGTTTTATTTATCAGAGTAAATTTGAAGTGCATCCTGCTAGGTCTGTGGACCACCACCAATCCCCCATATATCATCTACAGGGCTACAACATCACTGCAACCGAACCTGCTGGATATGGCACTGGACATAGTAGAGGCCACGTGCCACAATTCCGAGAGATCCCACTCTTTGGTCCTACTGTCACCTCTTCTGCTCGTGTCAGCTGCACTCTGTACCCGTCTGACCCGTTCTGGGGCACCCCTGAACAGGTGGATACCAGCCATGGTAAGGGCAAAGCTGTCTTCAGAGGAAAGAGGTGCATTCCATCTGCCCTTTGCTTCTCACCAAGACATATCTTCCCCTGGATGACAGAAACTCGGCATGCCCAAAACCAGAGGGCATCTGATTCCAACCAATTAGGTCAATATAATATCATATTGTAATATAGTTGTACAGTAGTCTAATAATGATGACTGTCCATATTACTGTAGCCTCTATGGAGTTACAAGGAAGTGTATCACCTGTAGAAAACATATTTTATTGGAACATTGTAATTATGGTGCCAAAAGTGCATTTGTGAAAATAGTAAGAATGAGTATTTAGGCTATAATGATTGTTTTGCCTTAAACATCATTTACATGTTGACATGCCACATTTAGAGGTAGCCTATAGCCTAACTGTCTTTTTATTGACCAGAAAGAAGCTATAGCTATACTTACACATGTCTGTCTTACACTGTAAGACATGTTAATAATAGGTTGGGTGGCAGGTAGTTTAGTGGTTAAGAGTGTTGTGCCAGTAACCGTAAAGGTTGCTGGTTCTAATCCCTGAGCCGACTAGGTGAAAAATCTGTCAATGTGCCCTTGAGCAAGATACTTAACCCTAATTGCTCCTGCAAGTCGCTCTGGATAAGAGCGTCTGCTAAATGACTAAAATATTTGATCCAGTGGCGCAACTTTAGTTTTAGAAGTGGCGGGGACATATTATATATATATTTTTTTAATCCAGTCGGATAAATTTTATTTATTTATTTTTAGTTATTTAGCAGACGCTCTTTTCCAGAGCGACTTACAGTTAGTGAGTGCATACATTATTTTATTTTTTCATACTGGCCCCCCGTGGGAAACGAACCCACAACCCTGGCGCTTGCAAACGCCATGCTCTACCAACTGAGCTACATCCCTGCCGGCCATTCCCTCCCCTACCCTGGACGACGCTGGGCCAATTGTGCACCGCCCCATGGGTCTCCCGGACGCGGCCGGCTACGACAGAGCCTGGATTCGAACCAGGATCTCTAGTGGCACAGCTAGCACTGCGATGCAGTGCCTTAGACCACTGCGCCACTCGATAAACACTCCAAAGAGCCTACCCGACCACTCGGAGGCGTCCGCATGGTCCTAAAGCACACCGTTGCCTCGTTTTGTATCACATTCCAATGATAAAACTGGGGGGGACAAAAATGCAATTTCTGAATATGGGAGGGGACATGTCCCCCCCTGTCCCCAGTGAAAGTTGCGCCCCTGGTTTGATCAACTCCTTATCATTTATGTTAGTTCACAATATCGACTAGCCGGTGCCCCCGCACATTGACTCTGTACCGGTACCCCCCTGTATATAGCCTTCCTACTGTTATTTTATTTTACTGCTGCTCTTTAGCTATTTGCTTTTATTTTCAATTTTTCTTTAATTAACACTTTTTTATTTTACATTTTTCGTTAAAAAACGGCATTGTTGGTTAAGGGCTTGTAAGTAAGCATTTCACTGTAATGTCTACACCTGCTGTATTCGGCGTATGTGGCAAATACATTTTTATTTTATTTTATATCCAGGGGTAAACTGGGACTTTAAACCCTGCACACAATACTGACAGGACTGTTGAAGCACATGTGACACTGAAGGTGGTTGTTTCCAGTGGTGGTCTCAAGGGCACTCTTTAAGTGATGAGTTGAGTTGACACTGCCGTGTGTAGATTTGATTAATGCACGTGTCAGATGTTTCCCCTAGACTGTGTCTTTAGAAGGGGGGAAGTTTCCCAAAACACCATCATCTGACACAAGATGTAACTATCCCTTGTTATGTCTCAGACACTTGCAGTACAGCATACTTTTAAACGTTCCTTTTGTCATTTCCCCAGGTGATTCAGTGTGCTGTCATAACAAGGCTGGTGGTCTCCCAAGTAGAGGAAGAGATGGAGAAAGATACAGAAACAGAGATGGAGGGAGAGACAGAGGGAGGTGAGAGCGGACAGCGTTCACAAGCACCCAGCTAGTGGAGCAAGAGGAGGAGTTCCTACCTGTGTCCACCCCGCAGGCTGGAGATGGCTCCAGGCCTGAGGCTCACCGACCGGTAGATCAAGATCTGGTTCCAGAACCGACGCATGAAATACAAGAAGGACCATAAGGAGGACAGAGTCATAGAGAACAGAGTCATAGAGAACAGAGTCATAGAGAACAGTCATAGAGAACAAAGTCATAGAGAACAGTCAGAGAGAACAGAGTCATAGAGAACAGAGTGATAGAGAACAAAGTCATAGAGAACAGTCATAGAGAACAGAGTCATAGAGAACAGTCATAGAGAACAAAGTCATAGAGAACAGTCATAGAGAACAGAGTCATAGAGAACAGTCATAGAGAACAGAGTCATAGAGAACAGTCATAGAGGACAGTCATAGAGGACAGAGTCATAGAGAACAGAGTCATAGAGAACAGAGTCATAGAGAACAGTCATAGAGGACAGAGTCATAGAGAACAGAGTGATAGAGAACAGAGTCATAGAGAACAGAGTGATAGAGAACAGAGTCATAGAGAACAGAGTGATAGAGAACAGAGTGATAGAGAACAGAGTGATAGAGAACAGAGTGATAGAGAACAGAGTGATAGAGAACAGAGTCATAGAGAACAGAGTGATAGAGAACAGAGTGATAGAGAACAGAGTGATAGAGAACAGGGTGATAGAGAACAGAGTCATAGAGAACAGAGTGATAGAGAACAGAGTGATAGAGGACAGAATCATAGAGAACAGAGTGATAGAGACTGAGCCGCCATCACCATCCTACTCTACCACCACACACATGTTGTCCTCCCTCAGTCCAAGGTCCTCTGGTGGACTTGGGTACTCAGGATTCAGAAGTGCTTGTCTGGTGAGAGCGCCTATTCAATCAAACCAGCATTGTAGACGTTAACTTTCATTCAACGTTTTGATAGTGGCTTCCTGAACAAGGCATAATTATTACCCGTAGGGTATCCTGAGTATCCTTGGTACTAGGTTTCTATGCCAAAGCAACCACTACTGCCCCCTCTGTTGCTATTCTATTATACCTTGTGGCAGATGTAACACATGACGTACTGTACATAGCATACCGGTCATCTTTTGGCATAATTAGCTTATAGCAATAAACTCCTCAAATATCTTCTGTTAGTATTACTGTACTGTTTTGCATGATGAATGCATGTTTTTAACACATTATCAATTTGGTATTTTCATGTGTCATATAATTGGCTTGTTGTTGTCATCTCTGTAAATCGTAGCGAAAGGAATTTGACTTTGCTATAGTTGTCAGGTGTTATGGTCTGATCATGTAAGTAACATAATGTACTAGGGATCAATTTGATATTTTCAAGAGCTCCTCCTGTGTCAAATAAGTGTGGCTGTTGTATCTGTAAATCAGAGGGAAAGGGATTTTACTTTGGCTGTAGGTGTCATGTGTTAGGTCTTGTTTCATGTGTTCTTATCATGTTCATAGCTGTTCGTATGTCTAAGTTGTGTTGGCTAAGTGTGAAAACAGAAGCAATCATATGTTCATATTGAATGAAGTTCTATTTGTGTTATGTAATGTATGTATTTGCATAAAATAAATATGTTTTTGATACTGTTCTTGATTATTTGAGATGTTTAATAAATGCATTTGTGGAAAATCAATCTCAGTGGAATCCTTATCTTCATTCATTTCTTATCAGAATGACTTCATTCTCCAACAGCATTTCATTGAGATTAAAGAGTGTATGCTACTTCTGGAAAACAGGGTTTGTAATGAAATTAACCCATTCTGTAGAATAGATTCAATAACAACTCTGTGATATTATGTTTTCATGTTACACAATCTCTGGACACAGCTTCTCCCTGGCGCCTGCTTCCTAGCTACCGTACATTAATCCTGGCGCCTGCTTCCAGTCATCAAATCACAGGCTCTCAACTCCGCCCTCTCCTTTTCAACTGGCTATTCGAAGCGGTGCAAGCTGGGACTAGCAGGGTTAGAGTATTGGTTACTTGGCCCAGCACCCTATAGGCTACAGCACCCTATAGGCTACAGCACCCTATAGGCTACAGCACCCTATGGGCTACAGCACCCTATAGGCTACAGCACCCTATAGGCTACAGCACTCTATAGGCTACAGCACCCTATAGGCTACAGCACTCTATGGGCTACAGCACCCTATAGGCTACAGCACTCTATAGGCTACAGCACTCTATGGGCTACAGCACTCTATGGGCTACAGCACCCTATAGGCTACAGCACCCTATGGGCTACAGCACTCTATGGGCTACAGCACTCTATAGGCTACAGCACCCTATAGGCTACAGCACCCTATAGGCTACAGCACCCTATGGGCTACAGCACTCTATAGGCTACAGCACCCTATAGGCTACAGTACCCTATAGGCTACAGCACCCTATAGGCTACAGCACCCTATAGGCTACAGCACCCTATGGGCTACAGCACCCTATAGGCTACAGCACCCTATAGGCTACAGTACCCTATAGGCTACAGCACCCTATAGGCTACAGCACCCTATGGGCTACAGCACCCTATAGGCTACAGCACTCTATGGGCTACAGCACCCTATAGGCTACAGTACCCTATAGGCTACAGTACCCTATAGGCTACAGCACCCTATAGGCTACAGCACCCTATAGGCTACAGCACCCTATGGGCTACAGCACCCTATAGGCTACAGCACTATATGGGCTACAGCACCCTATAGGCTACAGCACTCTATGGGCTACAGCACCCTATAGGCTACAGCACCCTATAGGCTACAGCACTCTATGGGCTACAGCACCCTATAGGCTACAGCACCCTATATAATGTGTGTGAGAGAGAGAGAGAGAGAGAGAGAGAGAGAGAGAGAGCTTTTGACTTTTTGTCTTTCTTTAATGGTACATTCTCATTTCATTAAAACCTCACCCCCCCCCCCCCCCCCCCCCCACCCTCTAAAATAAAATAAACAAATTACCAATATCCCCTGTACTGCATACTCACCTTTTCCTCTACCCTATGATACAGAAACAACACCACACATCACAATAACCCAAACCTCACCACCTCTACAACCGTATATCTTCCCAGCTATACAGACAGCCCCCCCAACACACCATATCTCTTGAAACATCTCCACACTTTTTATCATTTTATAAAACTCAAATTCCACCCTAAGGCGCGCAGAGACCATCCCATTAAATAATAGTAAAGGGTCTGTTATCCCTCCACCTTTGACCCTGTTCCTCCTTGTTATCCAAATAGCTAACTTTGACTGAGCAAACAGAAAATTCAACAACACACATTTTTCCTTTTCCTTATTTGAATACCTGTACCCCATTATAAACATCCCAACAGTAAAACCCACCCCCAACCTCTCACACAGACATTCCAACTGAGACATTAAAGGCATTAACCTGGCGCACACAAAAAACACATGAATCACAGTTTCACTCATGACACAGAAAGGACACCCCTGTCTGACTCCCGGTTCAACCCGTGCTAACCAGCTGTTATGCTCCTAATGTTCCTTACCTTAATACAGAGGTTGTAGAGGGCTTTACCTCCCACCCCCTCAAACTCCCCCAGGCTCGGAGTGTTAAAATCTAACAAGTCCTCCAGACCCCCTTGCCAGTCCCCAGTCTCTGCCGTCACGTGCAGTGGCGGAAACATTGGTGGCCCCTCCCCCTTTGGCTGCTCAAACACCCCCCTTACCGGCTCAGACAGTGCCTCCTGGACTTCCCCCAGGAATCTCTCCAGCAGCCTAAGAGATGTTAGTCCTGTTTGTTTTGCTAGGACTTCTGGGGTTTTCTATCCATCCTCTCCCAGCAGTCGCAGGTCACCCAGCCTTAGTAATCCCGCTGCCATCAGTCGCCTCTTCAGGGTGGTTGACTGAACCGATCTCAAAAGGATGACTGGGTTGTGGAAGATAGGCTCCTCCCACACCCACAGCCCAGGCTCCACCCCCCTTCTCGTGTGGGCCTTAGTAGCTGCCAGGCCCTCAGCACCGCAGAGTAAACATCAGAGAGTCCTGCTGTACTCAGCCCCTCCAGCCTCATGAGGAATAGCTGCCGGTCCAACCCTAATCCGCCAGCTCTCCTCAGCAGCGCGCATGCTGGCTCCCTCCATCCGACATCAGTATGGTACAACAGTCTCTGTGCCGCCTTTAGTCGGAAGGCAGCCACCCTGCTCTCCAGTTCAACCAGGCCCTGTCCTCCTTCATTTACGGACATATACAACACTGCCGCCCTCAGCCAGTGATGGCCCGACCAGAAAAAAACCACCAGCTTGCGTTGCAGGTCTGCGAGCAGACCGGCGGGGGGGTTGAGGACATCCAGTTTATGCCACAGGGAAGATGCCACCAGGTTGTTGATTATCAGCACCCTCCCTCTATATGACACTTGGGAAAGTAGCCACCTCCACCTGGCCAGTCTTGACACCACTGCCTGTGACAGCCCCTCCCAGTTCTTCCTGACCCACCTCTCCGAGCCCAGGTACACCCCCAATATTTTAAGCCCTTCACAACCCCACTGCAACCCCCCTGGAAGCAGAGGAGGGGCCCTATCCCCCCATGCCCCACATAACAGAGCTTTGCTCTTTCCACAGTTTATCTTAGCTGACGAAGCTCCCTCGTACACCTTCAGACTATTCTCTAGTGCCTGCACATCCTGACCATCACTGACCATCACAGAAACATCATCTGCATACGCTGACACTGCTATGCCTGTCCAGCACACTCCCTGCAGTCTCCTGCGTAGCAGGCCCAAAAAAGGCTCAATGGCTAGTGTATATAACTGCCCTGATAGAGGGCATCCTTGTCTAATGCCCCGCCTCACCCAGACTGGCCTACTGAGCCCCCCTCCCACCTTAACCATACATGATGCCCCAGCATACAACATCTTCACATAGGCCAAAAACCTTTCCCCAAACCCAAACACAGACATCACATTAAACAGATACTCATGGTCCACTCTATCAAAAGCCTTCTCTTGATCTAAAGAGACCAGACCAAAGTTCACATTAGAACTTCTCGACAAGTCCAACATGTCCCTGATTAAGAACAAGTTGTCCGTGATTAAGCGTCCTGGTACGCAATATGTCTGGTCCTTGTGTACTATAGAGTCCAGATGGGACTTTAGTCTGTTAGCGAGGACCTTGGCAAATATCTTGTAGTCCGCACAGAGCAATGCCACAGGCCTCCAGTTCTTAAGTTCACACCATTTTTGGGCAGGAGAGTCAGAGCCACCCGCCGGCAGCTCATCGGCAACTCTCCTACCCCAACGCATTCACGCAACACGCAAAAGAAGTCCAGTCCAATTATTCCCCAGAATTTTGTATAAAACTCCACTGGGAGTCCATCGACCGGGGGATATCTGGGTTACGGCCTCTGCCAGTTCATGGGACAACAGGGGAATGTCCATTTCATCCCTTTGTACCAGAGAGAGCTTAGGGAGTTCGGCAAACAAAACCTGAGCACACATATGATCACACAGTTCTGCCTTATACAATTCAGTATAAAACTCCACAGTCCGCTCCCGCATCTCCCCCACCACAGAGGTCACCCGCCCATCCGAAAGCCGTAGACAATGCATACCCTTGGCTTCACCGCTCTGTCTTTCCAAGCCAAAGAAGAAGGAGCTGGGAGCATCCATCTCCTTGAGCATGGATAACCTAGCTCTTACAAGTGCTCCCTTTGCTTTAACCTGGAAAAAACTGCCCAGGTCCCTACGTAGTTTAGCTAGATTAGCCTGGAGGCCTACATTGCCTTGCCCCACCAGCTCTACCTCCATCTCACTAATACTACGTTCGAGTTCCCCCAATACTCTCCTAGCCTCTGAGGATGAGAGAGCTGTATACTGTTGGAAGAAAAGACGAATTTGGAC